ATGTTTGTTGATGGTGTAACGATTCTATAAAAGCCAGGTATAAAAGCCGATTCTGTAGAAGCCAGGTATATTTGTTGATGGTGTAACGATTATGTAAAAGCCGATTCTGTAAAAGCCAGGTATGTTTGTTGATGTCGATTCTGTAAAAGCCAGGTATGTTTGTTGATGGTGTAACAATTCTGTAAAAGCCAGGTATAAAAGTTGATTCGGTGAATGTTAGATATGTTTGTTCATGGTGTGACGATTATGTAAAAGCCCATTTTGTAAAGGCCGAGTATGTTTGTTGATGCCGATTCTGTAAAAGCCAAGTATGTTTGTTGATGGTGTAACGATTCTGTTAAAGCCAGGTATGTTTGTTGATGGTGTGATGATGCCTCTAACGGTGCAAAGAAAACCCGAATCTCCATAAAAAAAATCTAAGTATGTTTGTTGATGGTGTGACGATGCCTCTAATGGTGCAAAAACATCCTGGATCTCAATAAAAAAAATAAAAAAGAAATGAAACCGTCAGATACCACCGATACTTGATCCAGATCGCCCGATTCCAGATTGGATCGGCGATTTTTGTTGATGGTGTGATGATGCCTCTAATGATGCAAAAAAAACCCAGATCTCAATAAAAGAATCAAAAAGAAATGAAACCGTCTGATACCACTGATATTCGATCTGGTGTGGTATCACCGATACCCCAAATCGTCTGATTCCATATCGGATCGGCAATGTTTCAAAAAGTCATCTCAACCCATAACCCTCTCTTTCTCTTCTTCTTCTCACCAAAAACAAGCGCGTCCTTCTTTTTCCTTTTTCTTTTTTCTCGTTTTTTTTTTTTTTTTGTTTGTTTGTAAGAAAACCCTAGCACATACGGGGGCCTCATATCTTAGCAATGACTTCCCCGTCAAGTCACTAATTAGTATACGCCTCTATTAATTTGGCTATGGACGTCGACGTCCCTCCCACATGAGATTTCATCGCTTAAAATTTAAACAAATATTTTAAAATAATTGTAAACATAGATTTTTTAGTTTCAAATTATTAACAAACAATTTAATACATTTAACAAGACTAAAATTTATTTTAAAACTAATAAAAATGAAGTCTAGGCTTTAAAAAGGATTATTCAATATCAATATTTTCAATTTTTCTTTCTTATTTTCTGTTGGATCTCCCTGAATAGGGCGATCTGCATCGGAATTGGTGGTATAAAATAGTCCAATTAGAGACCGATTCAGTACCCATACACTCTATTAAACATTGTGTGAAACTATATTAAAGAGTCTATTTGATATTTCAAACATAAAATACTTAAACTGCCTTATTACAATTTGCTTCATTTACCATAATATAGAAATAAAAGCTCCACAACTTGTCTGCAAATTCAGATTCAGTTCCTTGAAACCTAACCAGAAAAGGAAAAAAGTACATAAAAATTATTTTCCAATTGTCCTTCACTATGCCAAGGACAAGGATCTCAATGCTCCTGAGGGTAAGCTTCGATGATAAATTGGAGAGCTGGGAGTGAGACAATCTTGCGTATACCAAATCCTCCCTGACTTAATACATCTCTCCACTCTTTCTCTGTCCGTTCTTTTCCCCTGTCGAGAGTGTAACCATGACGAGGTCGAATGCCAACCTTGAATCGGCAAAGGAACTGGTGTCTTCCTCTGGTCGTAAAACTGCATCAACGATTATCAGCTTCCCGCCATTCTTAGGGATTGATTTCTTGCATTGCTTCAAGATCTTCACGCACTCCTCATCCTCCCAATCATGAAATATCCACTGCAATCGGAAGAAACAAGAAACCAATCAATCGGAAGAAACAAGAAATCAAGCAATACCGAAAACATGACCAAGCCATTGGGATTTTATGGGCTTGATTGGTTACAAGGTTAACGATTTCAACACCACATCCCATATTCGAATATGTGGCATTCCCGAACCCACAATTAAGAAAAAAATATTCTAGGCCCCGATCTAACTATGATACACTAGCCTTGAGAAAGGTACGGAGTACAAAGGGTTAAAACATTAGCTAAGGAAAATTGAGAAGCGTAATTTGATCATTTTGGTCCAAGGTTCAAAAAATTAACTCGGTCATGGTCCTCGGATACTTACTGAGACGAATTACACGACCAACTTCATGTCGTGTTAAAAAAAGAAAAGAAAATGGAGAATAACAAAATATAATAAAGTGTATATATAGAAAATACATATTCTTACCACAAATGCTTAAGTAGCGTCTTGGATAAAGGTTATTGCCCTCTTCAATAGGCTGAAACCCCATGGTCATACATGTACACTTTTAATAAAATTAGTCAGGGCTTATTTTTTATTTTTTAATAAAATAAAAGACATTCGAACTTATGACATGAGAAGGCTGAGGCGTGAATAATAGCCAAAAAGACTGCCACGCAGCTGTTTATAAAAGGCGATATATAAAATATATATAATTGGTATATCCTACTCGGACTCGCCCATAGGCTGAGTCCCTGTCTCATAGGCCGACTCTGAAAACAGTGTTTTGGTCATTGGAGTTTTTGTAAGGTTTATTGGTAAAAAAAAAAAAAAGAAAAAAATTAGAGAAACTCCCTGCCCCACTATTTTTTAAAAAAACTTCAAATTATCATAAATTTCCTCTTGGATAGCAACGAGACTTCTCAAATTTTTGAAGAACTACAAATTTTCAGCACACCGTTTAATTTATTTTCAACACGCACTAAGAGAGAGGGGATCTGCATATACCTTCATTAAAACAGCATCTGCATGGGGTATGGAAACAAACATATCACCCCCAACGTGAACCACGCCAGGGTAGTCCTGTGCAGTCGACACAACATGGGGGAGGTCGAAATTGATGCCAGAGATATGCGGATGCGCCTTCACTATCTCACTCAATGTTGTTCCTGTTCCACCCCCGACATCAACCAACGTTGTCAAGCCTGAAAACCCTGACTCATACTCGGACAACAAAGCCTGGCGAATGACCCTAGAATTGCTAA